GGGAAGGAGAGTCTTGGACTTGGACTATAGGGATATTTACTGAAAAGAAAATAAATCGAAGAGGTGAATCGAAAATTCGTGATAAAGAATGGAATAAAATGAAACAGTGAAGAGAAATTAAGTACCAGGGGGAAGGAGAGCAAGAGAGGTTGAGGCAGGAGGAGGACTCTGTACAGCCTCAGGTTGCTGTAAATCGAAACAAATATCAGAAAAGGAAATGCATAAGAAGTCAAATAAACATACATACAAAAAAGTTGAGAGTTGTACCTCAGGAATAGGGGTTGATGATTGAAGTTGAGAATCGACATTTGTCGATATAGTCGCCGATGGATGATCCTGAAAAATATCGAGAATCGAAATCATGTAACAAGATCTTATCGAAATCTAGGAATATAAAATGATGTAAAAAAGGGACTTACGTGACTAGAATGTGTGGTGAGTGTTGTTTGACCCGCTTTAGTGACCGTGTTGGAGTCCGTCGATAATGGATTGATGGTAGATGGTTGAACAGATCGAGGACTCTTCGATTTTTGTTTCTGAAATTAGAAATCGAAAAACAACAGAAATATGTTAGAATCCAAATGAATCGGCTATAGACAAAAAGATAGATAAGACAATAAGGAATCGAAAAGAACCTTCGATTTTTTTGAAGATGAAGAAATGGTGGCCGAGTGCTTGCGTTTCCTAACGAAGGCCGATGGGTCTGACTCATCTGAGGACTCCCAGTCCTTCTCCTTCTCTGAGGCAACAATCTTAGAAGGCTTTGAAACTGTCAAAAAAAAGAAAACAATTAGCTTACAATATAAAGAAATAAAAAACATTCCTAGAAAAGGCAGCAAAATCTCACCAAAAGGTGATGGAGTCAAAATCATGACTCGATCGATATGTACAAGCCAGGGAGGAAGAAGAATTTGAGGGAGATTTAGGTAAGGGAAATAAAACAATTTCGATACAGAAATGTCCTTGTTTTTAGGTTTGGGACGAAGAGTTTCTCTTAGGGATCTCAGTTCTCGAACCCATTTGGGATGAGTTAAAGGTTTGACAATCCCAAAAGGTGTTGTAGGAAAAGTGGGAAGGTGATCGGGACAATACATTTCAAATGGGGTTTTACCTCGAGGATTAATTATTTTGTGATTCGATCGGTTAGTGTCTGTCTTATTGGCTAAGGAAATAACAGCGTCATAAAAGGTCGATTCTAATTTCAAAGGGTTGTAACAAACTCGATAAAAATTCTCGAATCGAGATATTTGAAGATAGTGGGAGTGTGTACTTTTCTTCGCCTTTGATTTGTCCTGCAACACAAGAGAAGGATGAGCAGTCAATTTTTGTCGGACTTCGTCAAAATCAGAATGATTACTCGAGAACCAATCGGCCCACCATTGAGAGAAACCCAGGGTTGATAAATAATTAGACTAAAAAACATAAGGATAAAAATGCATCAAGGTTTTTGGTAGCAGTTTGGTGAGCTCCCGTCCAATTGTCGATTCACTTAACTTGGACTTTGGGGAGGTATCGAGGGGGAAAAAGGTAAGGCTTGACTCAAACCAAAGTGCCTCGAGAAAAGTTGGGGGTAATAGGTGACAAGCTTAAGATCCTTTGAGTGAAATCCCGACACTAACACATCGTGAGTCAAATAACTGCTCCATACTTCGACCAATTCTGACTGTAGCCCCGGAGTAAGAGCAGGAAATCTCGATTTAAACCACGTTGGTCCTCGAAGTTGGTCACTTATTCGTCTGAGATTCACAGTGAAAGGAGCCAAAGTTGAGTCAAAATGAAACCTAGTTAACAAAAACTTAAGGTATCTACGATAAGTCGCTTTGTCGGGTTTGTGGCGAGGATGGCGAGAAGATAATCGAGCACCCTCTAAATCTTCACTTGGGGGGATGTTGGAAGTTGGGGGAAGGATACTCTCAAAAATCGAATTCAGCCATAACTGGATAAACCAAATGGGGCCTGAAAAATTCCCCGAAGCTCTGGGGGTATTCAAAATCTCGACAGCCTCATCTAAAGCAGTATATACATGAGCTAATAAAAGTTGGGCTAAACAAATTCTAGGCTGGCCGGTGTGAAGGAGATAGGCAAGGTTATACAGGTGGGATGAAATTTGGATTGATCAGGGGCAGAAGACGTGAGTGCACAACCAGTATACCAAGAAAGCAACGTGCTCCTCATCAGAAACAGAAACTGTTGGATCATCGATAAAATGCTTCTCGAGAAAATGACCATAGGCTTTCGATTCCCAATCGATTTTTGACCTTAGGGAATTATCCGAAGGAAAAGCACCCTTATAGTACTTCTCCCCTGTGGGCTTCAAACCAGTAATTGCAGCGACTTCGAAAAGGGTGGGCGAAAGGGGACCACAAGGGAGTTCTAACGCATGCAGGTCCTTATTCCACAAATGTACAGCAGACAGAAACATAGCCATATCCAAAAATGACAAATCGCATCGAGATAAATGCAAAAAATCGAAAATCCCCACGTCTCTCCAATGGTTCCCAAACTTAGTCTTAACCCTATCAAACCACCTAATGTACAAGGGTTTTTTGGAGGGGGGGCCCGTTCGGTACACTTTAGATACAACATTCAGAAAGTCTATCCGAACTTCAGATTGATGAATGGGAGCCTGGCTCTTTGGAGAAAGATTGAGGGAAGAAAAAGTTCCGCCACAAGAACGAATAGGACCCCCAAAAGCATAAGTTATATTATCAGCAATATAAGGGATGAGTACCTGCGTCTCAGCGACTTTCTGAGAAGCTTCCTCCATTAGAGGAACCGGAGCAAATTTCTTGTTGTTGATCTCCAGCAGGTTAGAGGCCAACGAGGGAAGTGGTGGGGCTGAAAAATCAGAAGATTTGGAAGAGGTTGCCATTTCAGGAGAGTAGAGGAAAACAGAGGATAGAAGGTGAGGGTGCAAGGTTGAGGACAAAGACGCAAGGTAGAAGATGAAGTTGCAAAAGAGGAGTAAAAGTTCGCGTAAAAAACCAGGGTAAAAGACCAACAAAGTGTTTAAAGGAAAACTATCTAGGGTACTGGAAACGACGGAGGCGAAGGGCAATTAATGTGGCGTGTACAGTAAGGCAGCAGAATGATGTGATGGTGACATAAAACCCCAAAAACCCTAAAACCATAAAAAACCCCAGAAACCCTAAAACCTAAGTTATTGTGGGCCTCCAACACGTGAAGGCGGGAATCATGTTGAAAGAATATAAACAGAAACTATTTATATTCTTCCAAGGGGGCATTTTGTTAGTGAGAAATCGATAAAGGGATCGAGAAACAAATGGGAGCAAAAAACAAATCGAAAACCATTTTGATTGAGTTAAAGACTGATAAATCGAAAGATAGTTGGAAAATACGTTCGACGACCATGTGACAATATGATCGAGAATTAGAATCGAGAAATCGAAGGAAGAATGTTTTCGAGAAATTAAAATTTTGTAATGTTAAGGTTAAGGAAAACCAAGAGCAATTCAAAGTTCTCGAGATCAAGAGATCAAAATCAAGAGGAAGGCTAACCTGCGTGGATATCGAAATCCCGGCTAGGTCATAAAGAGGGGAACAGTTAAACGCGCACATAGGAAACAGTTTCTAAACCGTGGCAGAGGTCGAAGATCATGGGAACGTGGGTGCAGTTTTGATACCGAAGAAGAAACTGCAACATGCACGTAGGACGTGGTAGCAGTTTTCGTTAACTGCTCCTAAGAGGTTACTTGCTTAAAGGATGCCCTATAAATAGAGTGAAGGATGAAGGAAGAGGAGGTGGAAATTGGCAGAGAGAGCAGGAATACTAGTGAGAAGTCTACCGGAGAACGACGAACATCATGAAGTTTCTGGCGATCTGGATTTCCATGTTCATTGATTTCCTTTACCGTTTTCTTTATTTTCCCTGGTAATTTACTTTGATGCAGTTTATGTTTAGCAACTTTAAGTTTCTGTATTTTCGATTCCTTGTCATTTCTCTTTAATGAAAGTTAAGTTTCTGCGTTTAAGTTCATTGTCATTTATATGTAATCTCGATTTCCTGCCATTTACATTTCTGTAATCTCGATTTCCTGCCATTTACATTTCTGCAATCTCGATTTCCTGCTATTTACATTTCTGTAATCTCGATTTCCTGCTATTTACATTTCTGTAATTTCGATTTCCTGTTATTTATATTTCCGCAATTTCGATGCTTTGTCGTTTACACTTAATGCAAATTTGAGGTTTCCGCATTTTTCATTCCTTCGCAGTTTTACATTCGGTACTGCTTTTCGATTTGTCACTTTACTGTTTTCCTTATTTCGAGTACTTCAAATACAAAATACCAAAAATAGTGCTTTCGATTATTAATCTTAGTATTTTCTATACAGTGGTATTTTCGATTCTCATACGCATTTCGATTGAAATTCAGTTGCTAGCCTAAGTATAAAGAATCTACGTGGTTGAGTTTTGGTTAGAATCAAAGCCTCTTAAGAATCGAAATCGATCAAAATTCCACAAGAAACAATATGTTAAATGCTTTCATCGATCTCTAATAAGCTTTGTTTTTGGTGAAGTATATATGAGGTTGGAATTGGCGAGGATAGTTCCACTCAGGTCAACAAGTTAAGATGAGATCAAATTGATGCTAGTAGCTCCGTGAAGGAGGCGTTGGAGGCATCTTAAATTCATATTGAATATTAAAAGAAAATTTCTACCAACAAAATTTTTGACATGCAGACGTTTTAATTGTTCGAGATAAATGCCTTTTTAATAGTTACTTTGTATACACATAAAAAAAAAGTTGTGCATTATCATATTGACGTGAATATATATTTACATACAGTAGAAGTAAAAAATAAAGAAAATGAAAGACTAAAGGTACAAAATATTATGTGAATTAAGAAAACAAAAATAAAAAATAATATATTATCAACTTACACCATCATCTCACGCTGTTAATTATTTTATTTGACAAAGATTATTCCCATTCCCAGGATGAGAGCATACCATTAATGGAGCGTAGGGTGGAGTGTTTATCGCGAGGAAGGGGCAAAAGAAAGAAGATCTTTGGAACCAAGGCCAGGCTGAACGACCACAACGGAATCGAACATTACAGGACGGCCAGTCTGCGTGGCCGAAATCTTGAGGTAGTACTTGGTCCCAGACACCACCTGCTTCTGCGCCTCCACCACTTCCACGAACTTCATTTCCTCCGCCATCCCCTTCAGCGCCTGCTTCATCATCCGGTTGTGCTCCTCCACAGAGAAATGCCCCAGATCCTGCACCTCCTTGTTCGTCTTCACGTCCGTGACCTCCGTCTTCCCCCCCAACAACGCCGCGTACGCCACGCACGCCAACGTCGTCAGCGTCGCCACTGTCCTTATCAATGCCGCCATCGGTCAATTCTGTTACGTTTAGACCGATGGCTTTGCGGTTACGCTGGAGTTTATAGAGAGAGGGGAGAAAAGGGTGTTGAACACGTGGGTGGTGGCAAGTGAAAATCGCATGTCCGGTGCTTTGGAGAGAGAAAGAAGGCTTGGGATGGAAATTCTCTTTTGTTCTTAGTTTTTTATGAATAAATTTGAAAAAAAATAGTTTTTATGTATGTTTTCTTAATGATAATTTCGGCTTTAGTTCACCTAAAAGAAAATATTTTGGTCCTTTAAAATTAAAAAAACATATAATTATAATTTGAACACTAAAATTCAGGGATTTAAACAAGTTTTTTTTTTTAACGTAGTATTTAGAGATTAAATTTAATATTTCTTAATTTAATGAATTAAAAAATAATTTATTTCAAATTTAAGGAATTAAAAATTTAATTAAATCTTTAATGGTATATTTAGTTAAATTATGTTAGAATTTGTTATTATGTGTTAAAATTTGTTGTTAAACCTTGTTGTGTAGGAAAAGTTATTTTAATGTAATAGTGTGATTAGATATGCGGAAGAATAAAGGTATGTTTTATTTAGTTTAGTTTTGAAATAATTTAAAACCAGATTTAGCAAACAATTTTGAAAAATTACTTTGAAGAATAAGTTGAAAAAAAAAAAGGCTTATTTAATAATTATAGTTTGAAAAATGTTTTAGAAAAAGAGGATGACATCAAGTAATGCGGAGGAGTTATGAGGAAAATGGGAGAATGACTTTGAAAACTTCACGAAGATGAAGACTAATGATGTAGCATAGTTACTTGTGGAGAACCAAGTATCATTAATAAAGGTACAAAATTTAAAATAAAAAACACGTTTGGTCAGTTTTGATTTCTTTTAAAATAAAAAGAAAAATATTAATACTATTTTCACAAAATAATTATTAAACAAGTTTTTTAGTTTTTATGAGCTAAAAAAATTGAAAACTATTTTTAGAAATAGTGAACAAACAAGAGTTAAATAAAATTTTACTCACTAATTTATTTTCTTGGTTCAAAAGTAAATAAGAGTATATACATCTCTCTTCGGTCCATCATGATTTGATTATTAAATGAATCTTAATATATTAACTTCATATATACTCAATTATTATTAAATAGAATATACTTCTGTTAGTAGGAAATCGATAAAGGGATCGAGAAACAAATGGGAGCAAATCGAGAATCCTTTTTTATTGAGTTAAAGACTGATAAATCGAAAGATAGCTGGAAAATGCGTTCGACGACCATGTGACAATATAAGCGAGAATTTGAATCGAGAATCGAAGGATGAATGTTTAATATCCGTTAGTGAATAAAATCGAGAAATCAGAATTATGTAATGTTAAGATTAAGAGAAATCAAAGGCAAGTCAAACGTTCTCGAGATTCCGAAATCAACATCGGAGAAAGGTTAACCCATGTATTGAAATCCCAGCTAAGTTATAAAGAAAGAAACAATTGACGTGTACATCAAACGTGGCAAGCGATGGCAAAGGTCCAAGGTCAAAGAAGCAGTTACCTCATGTATGGGAACGTGAAGGCAGTTTTTAAACCATGGCAGAGGTCGAAGATCATGGGAACGTGGGTGCAGTTTTGACACCGAAGAAGAAACTGCAACATGCACGTAGGACGTGGTAGCAGTTTTCATTAACTGCTCCTAAGAAGTTACTTGCTTAAAGGATGCTCTATAAATAGGGCGAAGGATGAAAGGAAAAAAGGAGGAGGGAGCATGGAAAATTGGCAGAGAGAACCGGAATATTAGTGAGAAGTCTACCGGAGAACGACGAACATCATGAAGTTCCTGGTGATCTGGATTTCCATGTTCATTGATTCCCTTTACCGTTTTCTTTATTTTCCCTTGTAATTTACTTTGATGCATTTTATATTTAGCAACTTTAAGTTTCTGTGTTTTCGATTTTCGGTCAATTTCAATTTAATGGAAGTTAAGTTTTCTGCATTTAAATTTCCTGTCCTTTAACTTCGATGCAAATTCGATTTCCAGTTATTTACTTTTTCTGCGTATTTCGATTTCTTATCATTTACATTTCTGTAATTTCGATTTCCTGTCATTAAGTTTCTGTACTTTCGATTTCATGCCATTTATCTTAATGCAATTTAAGTTTCTGTACTTTCGATTTCATGCCATTTATCTTAATGCAATTTAAGTTTCTGTACTTTCGATTTCATGTCATTAACACTTAATGCAATTTCGAGGTTTCCGTACTTTACATTCTCTGAAATTTAATATTTCTTCGCAGCTTTATATTCTATCCTGCTTTTCGATTTGTCATTTCACTGTTTTCCTTATTTTGAGTATTTCAAAAAACAAAATACCAAAAATAGTGCTTTCGATAAGTCATGACACGTTAGTGGGATTTTCTCGATATTGTGATATTTTCGATTCTCATATGCATCTCGATTGAAAAAAAAAACATTTGCTAGCCTAAGTAAAAAGAACTTGCGTGGTTGAGTTTTGGTTAGAACAAAATATCTTAAGAATCAGAATCGACCAAAATTCCACCAGAAACAAATTGGCGCGCCAGGTAGGGGTAGCCTTGTGTTAAAAACACAAAATTGGTTAGTTCGAGAGTGTATGAGATTAAGGAGTGGGCGGGTTATAAGAATGAGTCAAAATTCAGCAAATAATCAGAGCAACAATGAGAGTCTAAATGGTGTACATTCACCAAATACTGGGGGGCAAAGTCATAATGGGAATATGCCTGTAACATCGACAACTGCGAGTATGTCGATACCTGTGGGTAATGAACAAAATTCAGGCACCTTAACAAACACCCAAGTAGGATCTAGCGCGGTGGTACCAAATAGTATGCAAACTGTGGGAAACCCCACAACAACATATGTAGGGCCATATATGAGTGTAAGACCACCTAGGTTTTCGCTTAATAATATGAGTGGGGCTGGAACTTCTTCAACACAGCGGAATTCGAGATATAACTTAGGAATGCCTCAAACACTAGGTATGCCGCAAAATTTTGGAGTCCCTCCAAATTTAGGGACATCTCAAAACTTAGCAATTCCCCAGAATTCAGGAAGTGGACACAATTTAGGTACACAACAGACACCTCCAAATCTAGATCACAGAGCAAATCTGGATCATGGGAGAAATGCATTCGATAGAGATTATCATCGGTCTAATTTTGAGACTTTTGAAAACACTAGTACTGGGATCTCCAGCAACTCACTAGGAGTACTTAGACAACAAATGGATGAGAGCAATTTTGAGATGGTGAATATGTTATCACAACAGTTGACTACAGTCCTAAATCCATTAGTTCAAAACACTACTGCTAGTTTTGAGATATTAGCAGACCAAATGTCACGAATCGGGGATGCATTGGCTATACCTCGACGAACAAGGGTAGAAAATCATGCTAACCAGAATGCTAACATCAATCCCCCATACCTATTGAGGAGAAATCGAAACAATGATCAACATCAGCATACGGGGAATGAATACCAACAGGTGAGGAATGATATTGGTGGGAATCTGAATGAGGGATTTCAAAATATATACAATCAGAATAACATGCAGTATAATCATATGTTAGGACAGAGGATGAATTTCCAAGGGATGGAATTTAGACGACCCAATCAAACATACTTTGTGTCTCCCTTCCCAAATGCGATTCTCGAGACGGAATTACCTCGAGGATACAAAGTACCTAAATTCACCAAATTTGCTGGAGAAGTTGGTGAATCAACTATCGAGCATGTAGCTCGATATCAGATCGAATGTGGGGACCTAGCGATGAGTGAGGAATTAAAGATGAAATATTTCCCTAGTTCTTTGACTAAGAATGCTTTTACTTGGTTTACTTCGTTGCCACCCAATTCGATATATAACTGGCTGCAACTGGAAAGAAATTTTCATGAGCAATTCTTTAGAGGAGAAACTTAGGTAAGTCTCATCGATTTGATGAATATAAAAAGATACAATCATGAAAGCATAGATGATTATTTGAATCGATTTAGACTAATGAAGTCGAGATGTTTCACTCAAATTCCTGAATATGAATTAGTCAGAATGGCCTCTGCAGGCTTAGAATTCTCGATTAGGAAAAAATTAGTCAATTTACCATTGAATGACATGGCTCAACTAGCTGATAAAGTGAGAAGAGTGGAACAAATTGAGTATGAAAAAAAAAGGTATAAAAAATATGAGAAACCCATGAAAAAAGAAAGAGTAGCATATATAAATGATGTATATGAGACAGATCCCATGACAGAAAATGATATCGAAGAAATTGTCGACGAGCAAGTAAATATAGCAGAGCTCAAAGTAGGGGCTCCATATATCTGTAAATTGCTACAAAAGAATGAAGTAAAAGATAAAATGGCAAATCGAACGTATACTTTCGATGTGACAAAAGCAGATAAAATCTTTGATATTTTATTAAAAGACAAACAAATTAAGTTGAGTGATGACCATAAATTGTCCTCTGCAGAACAAAGGAATGGTCGAAAATATTGCAAATTTCATAATGTTTATGGACATTGGACTAACAATTGTATACATTTCAGGAATACGATCCAAGATGCGATTGACCAAGGAAGACTGAAATTCGAAGAAATGTCAATGAAAGTGGACACGAGTCCATTCGAAGTTCAAGTGGGGTATATTGAATCCCAAACGGGCATGACTGAAGATGTCCGAGTGACGAATTCTGCTTTTGTAGGCATGGTCGATGTTACTGAAGACATCGATCCCAAGCATGTCAGAATGGATGTATCTGAAGAAGATATGGAATTCGATCTGAGCGAATTCGAAAAAGAATTCGAGAGGGAGATTTATCCTCGATCAGGAGATTCTCTCATCGAGTTTTTAAATAGAAAGAAAGAAAAAGATGAAGATGTGTCATTATGTCCGCGATGCAGCGCAGTATTCGACAAGTCAGCTGCTAAGGCTTTCAGAGTGGAGCAGATGAAGAAAATCGAAAGTCAGAATAAAAGGAAAAATGACAAA